ATATATAAGCGACTCTCCCCCCCACACAAGCCACTCTCCCCCCCCTTCTCCCCAAACCCCCAAATCCTCAAATCCTCAAAACCTCCCCCCTTCTTCCCCCCCCCAAAAAAAACAAAAAAACCCCCAAAAAAATTGACCAGACTGGGGCACGATCCCAGGACCTTGTCCGTATAACGGAACACAACCAGTACAACAAGTGTGAATTGTTAAGGACACGTGATAACCAACTACACCATCCGGCCAGTGATATGTATCAATATTTTGATTGGTGATGCGGTAATTATTTGGATGTATATTATTTGTGTTTGAATTTTGTAGCCCTGAGAAATGGTGGGTTGTGATAAGCGAGGTGAGGTGAGGCTAGGTGAGGCTAGGTAGTAGGTAATTGGAGCATGGGTGGCACCGTGCGCTGATTACCTAATTAAAAATTGATCGATTGATTGATTATTAATTAAAAATTGATCGATTGATTGATTGATTGATAGCTCGAGGTGGATTGATTCGAGGCCCAGAGTGCAGAATTTCCAGATACCTACCACCTAGGTAAGGAAGGGAATGCTTCAACCAAATTCAAATTCAAATTCCAATTTCAATTTCCTCTGTAGAAGGACTTCCCCTTCCCCTTCCCCTTCCTCATCAACTAACAACTACTAATCGAGTATCTAGGATAATGAATGGATGCATACCTAGGTATCTATCAATTGATTACCTACCTACCTACCTACCTACCTACCTACCCCCCTACCTACCCCCCTACCTACCTACCCAACTATTCATTCACAAAAAAAAAAGAAGAAAAAGGCTAGATAAGAAAGAAAACTCCAGATAACCGCGGTAACCAAGGTAGAAAGGGAAAAAAACAAGCTCCAATCTAGCTCAAGAATATATAAATTTTTTCATAGCCTATAGAAAGAAGTAATTAAAAAGAATGGTAAAAAGGCAATACAATATAAAATAAAAAGCCACTGGTATCTATTATAACATATCAAACTCCCATCTATCCATCCAACCATGCAGTCAGTCAGTCACCTATGGACATGCAATTCCCAATTCCCAATTTCATATATCAAATCTCAACCCAAATTTCCTGCCTGAATTCATTATACACGTTCCCTCGTATTAATCCCATATGATTCATCAGAGCTCTTTTGAACTACTGGTTTCCGTTGTAGTTGTAGTTTCACTCTGCCTATTTTCATCCTCACTCTCAATTCCTGTCCCCTTTTTTTCCACCACAATGGTTTTCATATTCTCCCTTGTGGAATCCACTTCCTCTTGATTCTTCACCTCCAACTCGCCATTTTTTTCCTTCTCCTTTCCTCTCTTCTTTTCCATCTTATGTATAGCCTCCTTGGTCAAATCCTGCTTGAACATCTTCTCCAAAACATCCTTCTTTCTAGTTCGATGATCCCCAACACTGATAAGTACACCAGCAGTAATATTTACTGTGATACTACAGCATAGAATGACTGTTGTTAATGCAAATGGTCGAGTCTTATAATTGATTGACCAGGTACATACACCTAGAGATATTTGTAAAAGGGAATGACAATCTAGAAGAATGACGATAGCAACGAGTAATCGAAGAGGGAAAGCGTGATGTGTTGTAGTTTCGTGAGGTTTATAAAATGTGTGAGATCGGTTAAATTTCTTTTGATGATGTTGAAGCTTCTTTTGTTGATTGGGGTTGAGAACTGAAACTTCATCTTCGACAATTTGATCCTCGAGATCCTCGGGTAATATGGCTGGTAAATCGTTATGATCTTCTAACTTTGGTAATTCCTTTTGTTTGCGGAGTCGCCATGTTAGATGGTGATAATGAGCTATATATATCATGTGGTAAGTGTCGATAGCTCGAAATGGAGCGAGTCCATCACCCATAATAGCAAAGAGGGCAACGAGGACATTATCAATAACGTTGATCACGTAGAGACGTTTACTTCCAACATTAACCCAGCCGATCAAGAAAAGAACCCATGCTAATCCAAATAGAGTGATAAGAACTGCATATAGAGTAACAAAGAATCCAAGAGCTATAAATGTTAGTCTAATTTATACCATAAATCATTGGAGGTGGCGAAACATACGTTTTCTGACATATTGTCCGAATCCCTTCATTGCTCGCTTAAATCCTTCTCTCCTTGAATGTAACAAATGCCGTACATGGTCATTGAGTTCTTCTTTATCGGCGGAAGACCAGCCATCCAAATTAATGCCTTCAGGGACCACTGCATAATGCGTGACCTCATCATCTGGATGTGATATGGATTCAGTGAGAGTAAAAGCTCCAGTATCTCTACTTTGAGGTCGAGGCCGTTCCGGGCGAGGGAGTGTTTGTGTCGATTCGCCTTGTGGTTCAAGCTCTTCTACTATCGGAATTTCCGGTAAGTTTGTTGGACGGCGGGTAAGAGTGTATGTTGGGTTACGATTGAATAGATTTCCAAGAGATGGAATGAATAGGGAGTTTTGAATATTCGTAAGACTCGTCAGGGTGGAAATTTCAGGATCTGGATACGGGTCAGAGATATTTATAGATGAAGTCTTGAGGGATACAAACCAACAAGATCAAGGAAATTCACAAGATCTGTATCATATTCGCCTTGAGAACTTGGTACTGCTTCACTATAGGTGTGAGAATGCTGTAGAGGAGCAGATATCTCAATGGCAGTATTCCCACCTGGATTAATTGGGGCGAAAGTTGTGTCTTCTTGTTTTGTAGCAGATGGCTCTTCGATGATATCTGGGATATGTGATCCCGCCCTCACCCTTGGTGGGCCAGCAGCCGTAGCTGATTGAGAACTTAACCATGCCGGACGTTGTGGTTCAGAACTGCTTCGACGCCTGTTTGATGTATCAACAGTATTATCGGCGGAAAGGTGATCGTTATCGATGTGTGGAGTCGAATTATTGATTTGCCAATCTCTTCGAGATATAGTACCATAAGGTTGATTGATCTGCGGATTTCCACGAGGAAGATTGCCCGATGATGACAATCGTCTAATTCGAATACTTGGTCGCCATATCCCTGGTGGAAGTCTTTGTGATTGTCGATTCTCGCTCGTTGCCTCAGTATTTAGTTGTGCCAGTGAATTCGCCGATGTACGCGCTGTAGATTGACCACCACTCCCTCTTCTGTTGTTTCTTCTTGTATTGTTTTCAGGTATTCCGGGTGTTGATATTGTTGGCAATTCTGTTCCCGTTGTTGTTGATAAGAAGTTCGGGTCTTCATTCACAGATTGCCGCCGCGATTGCATATTTGCTTATCTTTTGTAAGCAAAAGAACTTGAATGAAGATAATATATCCCCCAAGATGTTCTCGTTCTCTTTTGATCCCCTTGATTGACATTAAACAAGACTGAAATCTTGAGAAGAGACGGATAACAGCTTGAGAATGGTCAAACCTTTTCCCTTCTTTTTGCCGTTCTCACCTGTGGCCCAAGTGAGGCAAGAAGTAAGTTCTGATTGGAGCTATCTATCTACCCTCGAGCCACTGGTTATTCAAATCCAGGCAATTAATAAAGTTATGGATATAAATTGGAAAGAAAATTGGGTCTCAAATGGAAAATGGGATACAAAATATACGACTTGGTACGTCATATAGAGAAGTGCTTGGGACTGAAGTGTGTCTGTGGGCAGAGCAGCGTGGCCCGTGAGGGATCGAGGAATGGGGAATTTAGAATTGTTCCATTTCTACAAATAAATCAAGATGAATCAAAACAGAGAATCTTCCCAAAATATGATTCATATCGATAGGTGAAGATTGAATTCAATTCAGTCCAATCTAATTCAATCCCATCCTGGTGTGGTATTCGGGTAGAAAAGTAGGTAGGGAGGTAGGTAGTTATCGTTTCGTCTCTAAAACCCTAGCTAGGTAGCTGTCTGTGCCCGTCATAAGGTAATAACTCTTTTTGTTTGTACTCCGGTCCGCAAAAGGCAAAAGGCAAGAGGATGTGAGATCACACAAACCTTTCCATGGATAGATCAAATGGAATGGAATACATAATGTTGAAGGAAAAGCGAGCTGAAGCTGAATAATCATAAGCGACAATTACATCTACCAATTATACCTCTCGCACATTACCTAGGTCCCACTGGACGGGTATGTCATATCTCCCTGTACCCGAATTGGGATTTGGAATTACTGTACTGTCCGGGTATGTTTGATGATTGGGAATTCAAAGACCACTCATGCAAGGCTGATCGACTGTAACAAGGCTGATGAATATACGGGACAGGTACAGTATAAAATTGGTACGCGGGTACCTACATAGGTACCTATGCTACCGATATATTTCTCGTGAAGGTTAAGGTTAGATACTAAAAGTACCTACCTATATACCGGCATTTATATTGATCAATTGCTTTATTGCTTTATTGGGTCTTCAATGTTCCATGTCGTCTAACAAATCTGGGGTAATTGTTAATATCCTTATCCTTACCTCCAGCTATCTCTTATTACCTACCTACATAGAGTACATAGGGTTCAACATACATCCAACATACATCCATCATACGATTCCATTCAGGTTTACTGCATTCCAAAATACCCTTTAAGACAAGCATGATATCATTCGTACCCGTCATCACGATCTTGTACACCCCCAGCCACGATAATTGCAAGACATCTTACCAAGATATATCTGTGAGGCGTAACGGAATTACCTTCCATTGTCCGATGCACTGAAGGATTGGAAGATCTCTAGAATATGGATATCAGCAGAATATCAACATTGATCCACACCATCGGGATGGATGAGGATGATCTTGGAATGAAGAGCCTAGATGGGTACCACAGTATTCTTCATACTATACCTATGATATGATCCCGTAAATCGAAACCAATGCCATGAATACAACCTTTGAACTAAAATACGTCGCCAAGGCCTTCCGCCGTGTACCCTTCGATGGTTATCCTAGTGATGAATCTGAGGAGGGAGAAGTTTGGCTGGAGCCATACCGAGTAGGTAAAGTAGGTAGGTAACACCAGTAAAAGAATACCAGTAAGTGAAATGGCTGAAATCTAGAACTAATTTGATAATTTTGCCTTTTCTCCACAATGGAGATGATAACAATTTTCCTATCAAGCTCAGCACTACTGGCAGATGGATCCATGACATCCATAACTCAAAACAAATGAGGCTGAACTGAAGCAGCCTTTGAAAACTCTATATCAAATAGACGGGATGATTGTCAAAAACAACCTTGGAAATATATAGCAAATCATCATGACATGAGAAATGAT